GGGGAGGAGCGGCAGGTCCTGCTCCCCGCTCGGATCTCTCGAGGCTGCCGCACGCACACGCCGACGCCCGAGAGGCGCTCTTGCCGCCAGGGGCTCCCGGCCCTCGGAAGCTGACGCGCCGACGGCAGCGGGCGCACCCTCCTTGGGAGGGCACCGACTATCCACCTACGGCAGGTTCGTGGCGCGGCGACCATCGGCGTTGGTTTCTGGCACCGCGCGGGTCGTTCACCCTCTTGGGCGTCGGTTCTTGGGGGGGGGGGGGGGGGCGATGCATGGGGGGGGACGCAAGGTGCGCTCCTCGGGCCCCAGAGGCCCCCCCCCCCCCTCTAGGCCCTCAAGGGCCCCCCCTTTTCTGCAGCCCTCGCTGCCTCCTCCGTCTATAACCCCCCTCCACCTGAGGAGGGCAGAAAATCCACACCCCAAAGCGAAGCCGTGTAGGAAACACACCCCAGGAGGGAATCGACCAGGGCAGGGCTGTTTAGTAACCGCCCCGGGCCGCGCAGCAAACGCCGAGTGTCGGGGTCTGGTTGGTCCTTCCTCCCTTGACACCACGCGACGCCCAACCCTTGAACGATCACAGCTTTCCGGTAGCGCAGGCCGTCCGCTACCGACGAGCTCTGCGCCCCTGGCGGCGCTCCATCCCAAGACGCCCGCGCGCCGCGGCCCCCACCGCGCCGACGCGACGCGAGCCTGGCGCGCATACCGGCCCTGGCCAGGCCCATCCTGCCCCCATGGTCGGTGTGCAGGCAGCCACGTGGGCGATCTCGGGAACCCTGAACGCGTGTTCACCTCTTGGGGGCGCACCTTTTGCTTCCGCCACCTTCCGCCGCCGCTCCGCCGGCTTCCGCTGGCGGAGCCGCCCCCGCTGCACCTCCGCCGAGCTCCCGCCGCGGAGGAGGTGACAACTCCTTCGATCCTCGAAGGCGAGGCCCTTTTCGAGGCGCCCCATGCGTGTCGTGGCGACCGCGGCGCTGGCTCCCAGCACCGCGCGGTGCTCAAACCTGGCACGATCGGCGGTCTTCCGATCGCCCGAGGGCTCCGCCTCTGGGGGCCGCCGCCGGCGCTCTCCACCTCTCGCACGCCCGCGCGGCCGCCCCTGCCGACACGGCGCGAGAAGAAACCTGCCGTGGAGATGGGGGCCTTTCGGAAGTCTCTTGGAGCCTTTTTGTGGGGCGCCTCGGAGAGCTCCAGGACGGTTTGGGGGCTTTCTTTCTTGGGCCGTCGTGGGCGCGTGGGGCCGTCTCGGAAGCTTCCTGGGGCCGTCTCGGGCGTCTCTAGGGGGGGACTGGCAGGAAGGGGGGAAGCATCGACCTGGAGTCGGCGATACATCGCCGACAGGTCGGCGACAGGCCTACAAATCGTGGATCCGCACCTTCCCGGGCAGGTTGGGGCCATCGGGCCCCTGTCGGCGATCAATCGGCGATTGGCGGTCGATGCATCCCCTTGTGCCCATCCCCCCCTGTCGTTGCCCCTGAACCGATCCTGTGCCGTGGGCCCTGGACGTAAGTCGGGCGCGTCCCCCTATACAGGGGGGTTTTCGACGAAAAACAAAAAATACCCAAAATTATCCTGGCGAAGGACCCAACCATATGCAATTGTGAATACTGCAATTGTGAATATCTTCTCGGTGGAGCCCCCTACGGGGCCACGAAACGTACGAGGGGTGTGCCGAAATGGGTGTGCGGGACGCATGCGGGCACACCCACTGGGGCCTTCGGTGGAGCTCTCTATGGGGCCACGAAACGTGTGAGGGGTGTGCCGAAATGGGTGTGCGGGACGCATGCGGGCACACCCACTGGGACCTTCGGCGGAGCTCCCTATGGGGCCACGGAACGCGTGAGGGGCGTGCCGAAATGGGTGTGGCTGACGCATGCGGGCGCGGGCACTGGGGCCTTCGGCGGAGCTCCCTATGGGGCCACGAAACGTGTGAGGGGTGTGCCGAAATGGGTGTGGCTGACGCATGCGGGCGCGGGCACTGGGCCCTTCGGTGGAGCTCCCTATGGAGCCACGAAACGTGTGAGGGGTGTGCCGAAATGGGTGTGGGTGACGCATGCGGGCGCGGGCACTGGGGCCTTCGGTGGAGCTCCCTATGGGCCACGAAACGTGTGAGGGGTGTGCCGAAATGGGTGTGGGTGACGCATGCGTGGGGCGGTGGAGGGGTGTGGCGCGCATGACTATGGACGAACGTGTGAAATGGGTGTGGCTGACGCATACTGGGGCCTTCGGTGGAGCTGCCACGAAACGTGTGAGGGGTGTGCCGAAATGGGTGTGGGTGACGCATGCGGGCGCGGGCACTGGGGCCTTCGGTGGAGCTCCCTATGGAGCCACGAAACGTGTGAGGGGTGTGCCGAAATGGGTGTGGGTGACGCATGCGGGCGCGGGCACTGGGGCCTTCGGTGGAGCTCCCTATGGAGCCACGAAACGTGTGAGGGGTGTGCCGAAATGGGTGTGGGTGACGCATGCGGGCGCGGGCACTGGGGCCTTCGGTGGAGCTCCCTATGGAGCCACGAAACGTGTGAGGGGTGTGCCGAAATGGGTGTGGGTGACGCATGCGGGCGCGGGCACTGGGGCCTTCGGTGGAGCTCCCTATGGAGCCACGAAACGTGTGAGGGGTGTGCCGAAATGGGTGTGGGTGACGCATGCGGGCGCGGGCACTGGGGCCTTCGGTGGAGCTCCCTATGGAGCCACGAAACGTGTGAGGGGTGTGCCGAAATGGGTGTGGGTGACGCATGCGGGCGCGGGCACTGGGGCCTTCGGTGGAGCTCCCTATGGAGCCACGAAACGTGTGAGGGGTGTGCCGAAATGGGTGTGGGTGACGCATGCGGGCGCGGGCACTGGGGCCTTCGGTGGAGCTCCCTATGGAGCCACGAAGCGTGTGAGGGGTGTGCCGAATTGGGTGTGGGTGACGCATGCGGGCGCGGGTGCTGGGGCCTTCGGTGGAGCTCCTATGGGGCTACGAAGCGCTGTACTGGGTGGGTGAAACGCAGGGAAGAGGGGGAGGAGGGAGGGGGCAGCGGGAGGAGGGAACGCGGGGCACCGTCTCTTCAAAACGAGGACCCAACACCACAGGATGGCTGGGAAATAGCCAAAACATATTCCAAACATAATCTGGGGACTACTTTTTGAGTATTTTTGTTTGCCTTTTTGGGGTATGTTTGTGGTATCGTTTATTTTTCGTCGAAAATCCCCCTGTAGGACACGCCCGACATGGCCCTGGACTGGAGTGGCCATGACGGGTGTATGCAGAGGCGTGGCCGCCACCTTGCCTCGAGCACGCCGCGGCGCGGCCCAGGGGTTCGTGCGGGTGCCAAGGGTAAGGAAGCAGTAGCCCGACTCACCACACCTCCCAGAAGCCAGCACACGCAGAGCAATGTGGGAGGGGCCCGTCGAAAACACTGCGTCGGCGGGCTGGCCAAGGAGCTCGGTGTATAGACGCCGCAGCTTCCCACCTGGTGGGGCGCCAGAGCGTCTAGGCCCCGAGCTCCTCGGCTCCCTTGCCCACCCAACAAGCAACGCGTATACGTCGAGCCCCTCCGAGGGCAACAACTTTGGCCTCAGAGGGTGCGCCGGGCCATGGGCCCAGGACATTGGTGGGCCGCGGAAACGGCAGGTCCGTTCTTTCACCATCTCCGAAAAAAAAGTGTCTCCTGAAAACGGACACGGCAAGAAAAAACGGCTGGAAACGTCAAGAAAAAAGCGGCACCAGCATTGGAACCGGAGCCGGAAGCGGCAAACCACGGCGACGGAGCCAGCAAAAAACAACAAGGGCTCCCAACGTCGCGCTTCGCGCTGCGCGAAGCGCGAAGTGCGAATAACTTCGCGCCCTCGCGCCGCCTCCCAGGGGAGAGGAGGAGGAGGAGGGGGAATTGGGGCCGAACCGCGAAGCGCGAACACCTTCGCGCCCTCGAGGGCGCCCTTGAAACAACGGCGTCGGAGCCGGCAACGCAACGACAAAACGGGACGAGCAGAACGACGGCCCCCTGTGGCTTCCGGGGCTCGCTGAGCCCGGGGCCCCTGCCTTGATCTCCAGACGCCCCCCCCCCCGGGGGAGCACCCGGAGCCAACGCCACCCCGCCGGGTGCTCCACGGGCCCGGGCCCGCGCGGCGGAGGAGCGCGGGGCGTGCGTCCTCCGCCGCCCCGCGCCACCCGCGCACCGGAGTGGGGCGCTCCTGCCGCCGATGACGATGACCGAGGACGAGGACCGAGGACGAGGACGATGACGAGGACGAGGACGATGGCGAGGACGATGACGATGGCGAGGACGAGGACGATGACCGATGACCGATGACGACGGGGCCAAGACGAAAGGCAGAGTGCGGGCGAATTCTCGGAGGACGACGAGGACGATGCCGATGGCGAGGGCGACGGGCGCTCCTGCCGCCTTCCCGGCACTGTCCTGCGCGCAGCAGCCGTGTGGCCAAGACGAGGGCAGAGTGCGGGAGGAGGAGGGGGAGGAGCAGGAGGGGGAGGAGGAGGAGGAGGAGGAGGAGGAGGAGGAGGAGGAGGAGGAGGAGGAGGAGGAGGAGGAGGAGGAGGATATTGAGGAGGAGGAGGAGGAGGAAGAGGAGGAGGAGGAGGAGGAGGATGAGGAGGGACGAGCTCGGAGGAGCGCCGGTCGGGCATCTCCGCAGAGCCGGCGGCTCCGGAGCACGCGCTGGGCGCCGCGGTCCGTGACCCCGAGCGCTCCAGGTCAACGCTCCGGAGCGCTCCGCAGCGCCTCCTCCTCCTCCTCCTCCTCCCTCCTCTTCTCCTCCTCCTCCTCCTCCTCCTCCTCCTCCTCCCCCTCCTCCATCCCCCTCCCCCTCCTCCTCTCCGCCTCCTCCTCCTCCTCCTCCTCCTCCTCCTCTCTGGAGCTGTTTGCATCCTCGTCCCAGGTCCGCCTGAGAAAAAGGGGCCCAGGGGCACACGAGCAAGTACGTGCACACATCCCAGGATTCCCCATCTTTTCCCGCACTTTCCGGGCTCTCGTCTTCTTTCCCCCACTTCCCCATATGTTGCCCATCTGTTCTCTTGGGAGTCGACGATTCATCGATTCATTGTCTGTGTGTTTTTCCCCCTCCTGGCTGATAGCCCCCCCCTCCCGAGGTTGCCTGGAGGCCTTCGGGGAGGCCTCGGGGAGGGGGTCTCCGGCCTGAGGCTTCTTCGAGGCCAGCCGGGGACCCCCTTGGAGGCCCCCCCCCCCAGGGGCAGGAAGGCGCCGTGGCGGGGCAGGCTCGAAGACGCTGGTTGTCCGCCGATTCCCCACTCCTGGAGTCCGGCGGCGGCGGAGATGAGGACGACGAAAGCCTTTGCGGCGGCCATTGCGGCTCTAAGCGCCCAGGACCATCAGAGTGTGCGACGGCTGGTATGGAACTGCTCGGTCTGCGGAACTGTGAAGATTCGGGGCCGCCGTGGCTGCGAGGGGTGAGTGGGCGGAGGACGGGGGGAGGGAAGAAAAACACGGGGGAGGGTGGAAGACGGAAGAGGAGGAGGAGGAGGAGGAGGAGGAGGAGGAGGAGGAGGAGGAGGAAGAGGAGGAGGAGGAGGAGGAGGAGGAGGAGGAGGAGGAGGAGGAGGAAGATGAAGAGGAAGAGGCGGAGGGAGAAGGGTGAGACAGAAGGAGGGGGATGAGCAGGGGAGGACGAGGGAGGAGAAGGGAGATGATTCTGAGGAAGAGGAGGGAGGAATAGGTCGAGAAGGATGACGGTGATAGGCAGAAGGCGGAGGATGGCGGGAATGATAAGACTGCTACTACGAATGTTTATACTACTTATGTTTATACTGATGCTATTACGAAGAATAATAAGAATACGAATAATAATAAACAGCATAATAATAAGATCGTACTTATCATACAAATAAGAAGAACGGCGCTACTCATACTAATACTACGATTAATGATAATAAGAATAAGTACGGGGGAGGGTGGGAAGATGGAGGAGGAGGAGGAGGAGGAACGAAGGTCGAGGGAAAAGGGTGAGGCAGGAGGAGGAGGGGGATGAGCAGGGGAAAACGAGGGAGGAGAAGGGGGGGGATGAGGAGAAAGAGGATGAAGGGGGAGGTGAAGATTTTTTGTTTGACACGGCCATGACTGACACAGCGTTGGTGCCAGTTAAAAGGACCCCTGGCGGTGACTGAGCGGGACGGGCCGCACGGACACGGAGGGCGCCAGAGGTCAATCGGAGTCACCAGACTCCGCGGTGCTTACACGAGCAGCTTGCAAGGGAGCCTCGTCCTCCTCTTGGCGAATAGACGTGATCACACGCCTCGACTGCTCTCGCTCGGACACCTCACCCTCTTCGTGGGGAAAGGCGCCCTGCTCTGCACCTGGCCCTGCTTGTGGGGCAAAAAGAGAAAAAGCTTCAAGAGGGCCCGCAGCTCCGATGGTGCCAGGCGACGACGACGGGTCGACGACTCGATCACTCTGCTGGGCGCACTCAAGAAGGGGCTCCACCACTGGAGCCTGATCGGCAAAATGCCTTGGATGCTGGACTTCGCGGTCCCCAGCAGCAGCGACGATGGCCGACGACGAGGACGACGGGTCGACGACAGTATCGTGCTGCTGGGGATCCTCGCCCAACGCCTGTAGGTCCTCAGGAGACGCCTCAATCACGACTCCGTCGATTTTGGGATGGCGTCCCTTGAGCACTCGATACTTCCACCGCTCGAAATTGTTCCTCGTTGGGGCCCTGCAAACCTTAGCAAGCAGCGCGAGGGGGCCCAACGTATATATAGCTTTACACCTAACGCAAATGACAAGCTGAGACCGATCGCTGCAATCGAAACTCAACAACCTGTGGCCTCTGGCGGCCACCTGGAGCAACGACTCTGGTACCTTCCCAGTACAACCTCCACTTGAGGGCACGTCGCTCTTACCAAATACGAAATCAGGGCTGGGCCGCCGTATCTTGAGGCATACAGCACACCTCCAGTATGACCTATGCCATTCCCATTCGTGCTCAAAAGTTTCAGGGCCAGCGGGCTTCTGGCGAGGCTCTCTGGGGTTCAAATGGACTCCCGTGAGATCCAGGGCGGGCCGCTTGGGCAGTAAACGGGCCGCAAGCCTGCAAACCGCACGAGAAACCTTAACTTTCCTGTCTACTTCATCAAGCTCAGCCTTGGAGCCTGTGGGGCGGGCGAGCAGTCCTTGACGTGCGGCGCGATCGGCAGCCTCATTTCCGAATTTCTCCCTGCGTTGCTGGGCAGTTAAATCAGGACTGTCGGCCACATGCGCTTTTACTTTTCTAACAGCAGACAGGTCACACGAATGGGTCAATAACATGGTGCCCGAAAACACTTTCTTATCGGAGAACCTGGCCTCAGGAGGAAGCGCGAAGGTGCTGACCACATTCGCGCAATCCGAAAAACCTTCCGAGGGGCCTCCAAGGTTCTGTGAAACCATGGCGAGGGCTGCAAACTCTCCAGCTTGGGGGGTCTGAGGGAGCGGAGCCCATATAGGCCCACACACCGAGCAGGTCTCCTGAGCATCCTGGGTGACCTGTACATAGCCCCACGTGGCCCTACTCAGCTCCTTGATAGGGTGTCTGGTGCAGGACCCGTCCATGAAAATATATCCCTTGACCTGGCCAGGATATACGACGTCTTCTGTTCCTTCGGGCGTGTGAGTGATAATTCCACCTTGCTGTCGTGGGCGTTGTAGTACATCTCCAGGGTGTTCAAACAGCCCCTTAGAGAAAAGTAGCGTTTCCTTAGCGTCCGATCGATCGATGCTCCTAGCCTGGGTGATCAATTCGTCATCGTCGATCAAATCCCTCCTATCATCGTCGACCGCACTGCACTCCCACAGACGGTGGAAGATCGCGCCACGCGCTCCGCAGCTTAAAGGACACTGAGCTGATGGCAGAGCGTGCCCCAAGTCGAGCGCACGCTCGTTGGTCCACACAGCTCCGCACACCAACGACTTGATACAACCCTTCTCGTAGTATGTATACCGTGACGAACGAAGCTGACACGATACCACATCATAACATACTCGACAAGGTACATCGTGGACTCTACCAGCATCCCTTTCGAGCTGTCTCAAAACTCCATCATGCAACATCTGTTTAATGAGCGCTGGGGAACAGGTCGTTAAAAATATGTCTTCTCCGAAATCGTTGACCAAGACGCAGAAACTCTTCATGTCCCATTGGATCCTGAGGAGGCTGAGGCGGAGCGCTGAAAGGGGACCCGTGACCTTCTTCCAGGCGAGCTCTTCTTTGGGGACCCCGTGCGCCGACTCCCAAGCTTCCCTCAAAACTCCGAACGACAAAGTATTAGGCGAGGATCTAACTTGGTTCGAGAAGACCTCCTTAGCGTAGCGCACCACCGGCGCCACTGATCCATGCCACGACGGATCACCGTGCAACAACAACAAAGAGGTGAGGGACCTCGCGCCTGCAGACGGCCGTAAGACAGAGCCCACAGCACGACGAGCAGTCGCCAACTCGTGATCAGACTGGCCGTGCACTTCAGCTCCATAAAACAGGCCTGCTAGAGGTCCACTCGTGAAAATACTTCGGCAGTGCTTGCCCAGCACCTGCTTGACTCGCTTGAAACGTTTCGTTCTCTTCTTGAAAACGGCTGCTCTCTTCTGCTGCTTCTGTCCTCGTCCCTTTCTCCTCCTGCTCTTCCCTGCCGTATCATCGATGCCCAAGTTCACTGCAGATTCCACATAAGAGGCTCCACCGTACTCGCCTAGAGCTTGCCTGATGGCTTCTCCAGTCTTGTGGGATGAACATTTGCCCGACGCTTTGTCCTGGGCAACTTGTACGCACATCTCTTCAGTGAGCCCAACGTATAGCTGTGCCGCCGTGTGAATAATATCATGTGCTACTTGCTTGGGCTTACCTGTGGACGACATGCCATAATCATCGATCTCTATACATATATATGTCCAAGGACGTGCGGAGCGGGAAAGTGATGCAGTCTACTGTGGGAATTGCGTACGCTCTAATGTAGTGGTCGCCAAAGAACAGCCTGCGATAACTGCTGAAAAGGCAAAGTGAGGGCCATGCACCATGCTGGCCATCGCCAAGAAGCGTGGGCCCTTGTACGCGGCGGTGCTTACACGGTACAGCTGCTTCGGTAACGCTAGCAGCTCGTATCTATCTCCCAGGATGGACAGCACAATGGAGTTCCCAGAGAACCGTGCAGGCCACCGTCTTTTCTTCTTTCTTGGGCGTTCCCTTGAGACTCTTGGACTGCTTATGGGGCCCAGGACGAACAGCTTTTTCAGACCTCACCGCTTGCCTCCAGACCACGTCCGAAGCTCCCGAGAAGGGCCCCGCCGCCAAGTACGGGCGCCAATTGGATGCCTCCCAAGACGCCGCAATGGGTCTCCGAAGCTTGCCCCAAAAGCGATAGTGAACAACCCAATAGGTCTCCAACCACCTGCAGGTTTGGCTAAAAGCGGAACCACAATCGCGCGGACCTGATTCGGCAGGATGGAGGTCGCCTCCACGACAGAATATATAAAGACATCAAGGCCAGCAAACCTTGATCAGCGATGCTGCTGAAGTGGCGCATGTGGAAGCCGTCCACGGAGGTCGCGGACGTGAGCTTATACAGATGCGATACTGCCCTCATCTCTGGTGGCGGCACAACATCGAGGGGCTGAATGTACTCAACTTGTTCGGGCAACTCTGGCGTCTTGGAGGCCTTCCAAAGCTTACCAAACTTCTGGGCCTCAGAGGCCAACAACGATTTGGGGTCCGCCAGCACAGCCCCTTGGGCCGAGAGGGTGGTGGTGGGTTGCCACGCTGTGGGGAGACGAGTCCACGCATGAGCTCTCCCCGCCCCTTTATCAACCCCGTCGCATAACCAGGCCTTCCAAGACTTCTGAGCCTCCGACTTAGCCTTCAAAGAGTACGCCCCTAGGTCCTCGGAGATCTTATCTAAGATGCTGCAGCCCAAATCTAACTCCCCAAGAACCTCCGAGACCTCGAAGACCTTATCTATGTCCTGAACCTGGATAAAGCCTTTGATGCTGTCATAAATCTCAGAGAACTCTTCCAAGTGCCGGCCTATGCAGGCCGGAGGATCGGCTAGGCAAGCACGTGCACCACGAAGCTGGCGGAGCACACGAGAGCGCGCTGGCGTGGGGACTGTCGATGTCGGTCCTGGCGGAACTTGGCTCTCAAAAAGCATATCGGATTGCGGCAACCATGCCGTCGCCCCAACTTCGGAAGCTGGAGCCTCCGTCGCCGCCGAAACGTCCAGGGCGTGCAGCAGGCTGATAAAAAGACGGGACGTGCTCTCCAACCAGCTCAGCGTGAACAGAGCAGGTTGCCTGACATCTTTCCTTTTGTCTACTTCTAAAGCTGACCTCCAAATCAACTTAGGCAACCTGCCCCTTGTACCTAACAGCGGGATGTCGACCTGTCGACTGGCAATCAACTCTTTTTCCGCTGTGGTGGCCCAAATCTTGTAGGCCAAATTCATGTGCCTCTGAATCTTATTACGTGGGGCTCCTTCGCGAACCAGTGAGAGACCGTAAGTGGCGCAACCCAGGGCGTCGTCCCAAGACGGGGGCTCAGGGCAAGGACCTATAGGGCGCTGCGCGGGTATCACTGGAGGCTTGGAGAACGTGAGGAACTTAATGTCCGCGAGGGTGGGGTAGAACTTAATTTGGACGGGCGTGTGAGTCTTCAGATCGTTCTCCAAAATCACCCTGGTGGACTGGATACCTTTCGACAGGCCTCCCGAGACCACCATGTAGTCTAACAGCCTGACCGTGCTCGAGGCCGTCGTTGCACAAGTACCCTTCACTTCTGGATACACGATGCAACTGGATAAACTGCCCGCCAAGTCACATTCATGTAGCTCAGCTGGCTCCACGTTGAAGTCGCCTCCGATGATGTGAGGCTTGCGGTTGCTCTGCGCCGCCGCTCCGATCGTGGCCAAAATCTTGAGGTTCTCAGCGGAGAGCCCCTCGGAATCGCGCAAGTGGGTCGAGATGCAAAGTCTCGATTCACCCCCGGGAATCTGCACCCAACAACCGACAGCTCTTGCTTTGTATATTTTGTGGCCAGCCTCCAGGTCGTAGCATCCCAGAAACGAACGGACGAAGATCGCCACCCCGCCCGAAGCTCCTGAGCCTACTCCAGCCTCAGCCGCCACGAACCGAGACTTCCAGCCTTGCTTGAGGGCCCAGCTGGAGGCCTCTTCAATGTGGTCGTCGAGGACCAACTTGTGCTCTTGCAGGAAGATAATATGTGTTCCCGAACGTTGCAGCCAGGGTTTAGCCGATCCCCAGGAGGTGACGTTGGCCGTCTCCACAACCAACTCAAAACTTTCCAGTCCACAGGGCTGCCTAGACGCAGAAACTCACCCAAGGGCTCGGAGCCTGGCTCGGGGGGCGGAAAACGGCACAGCCGTTTTAAAAGCTGGTGCGCCTCTGCAGGGTCTGGCGCACGCCGACTCTCCGCAGGAGGCGCATCTGCACTCGCAAAAAGGTGCCCCCCTGGGGGAGGCTATCAGATGAGGTAGAAGATGCTGATGCTCAGGCCCACCAGCTGGCCCATCTGGTTGCCGCCCCCCTGCGCGCTCATGCGGATGCCGCTGCAGCCTGCTCTGGTGCAGGGGGAGGTGCCTGGGACGCTGCACGTCGAGCTCGCTCCCTGACGTTCTCGCCCCCTCCAGCAGCCCCAGCTGTGATCGTACACGAAGACCCAGAAGCTGGAGCTCCTGTCCCTGGAGCTGCCGCCGCTGCGGCTCCCTGTGCTGCGTCTCCTCCACCTGCAGCTTGATCCTCTTCTTCTGCTGCTTTACGTCGTTTCCTCCCCAACCTTTCCATGTGCTGCGCGTGCTGCTGCTTGATAGTGTCCAACTGGCTGATGATACCGCCGAAGGCTTCCTTGGTGACCCTGGCGATGTGTGCCTTGAACTCGTTCGTTCTGTCGCGCAGAATCTGCTTGTCGCCTTCTGTGACCACGTACTCGTCCTCAGGCACGCTGAAGATCTCCCCAGCGTCCACGAACTCGAGACAGCCCAACTTGCCGTCCACGATATCGCGAAGCTTAAGCCCAGTAGGCTGAAGAGTAACCACCTTCTTATCGCACACTGAGCTGTGTAACTGGTCCACCAAAGTTTTGTGCTGCGCGTCGGCCTCCTCGGGCTCGCTCGAGAGCTGTTGGACAACTGCGGCCTTCTCGTGGCACCAGGCTCTCCACTTCTCCAACTTGTCGAATTCGCCGTTGAGCTTCTTCTCGAGGAACTGAACGCGCTGATGGGCTGCGGTGGCCCTCTGCTGGAGCGGCTTCTCCTCGGGCACTTTGTTGGCCGCGCGGAGCCGCTCCAGCGCGACCTTGTACTGGCTGGCTGCGGCCACATCACCAAAACGATTGGCCAAGGACACCATGCGCTCGAGCTCCTCCTCGCTGAGCGCCTCCCCAGTCGGGATCGGCTGGGGTCCTGGCTGCAGGGCTGGCGGCCCGTTCACCCAAGCTCCCAAACGGTCGAGCTCGGGATCACTGGGCTCGGGCCTCGGCGCCTTGCAGTGCTTGCAGAACCAGTAGCTCCCCAAGTTCTTTCCACATAGGCAGTGCCCGCACTTCCAGAAGGTCTGCTGCTGGTTGCCCTGGCCTCCTTTGCCTCCTTTGCCTCCACCCTTGGCAGAAGTATCTTGGAAGAACTGAGTGTGGCCGCCAGCTCCTTTTTCCATAGCCTTTGTTGCCCTTGTCGTTCCCCGTGTAACTCCAGCCTGCGTACCATGCGTCATTGCGCTCGTTGGCGCGGCGCTGCCATGGCGGCGTGGCTGGGGCCATCCTGACGACAGGAAGGCGGGGATGCTTGCAACTGAATCTGGCTCGCCTGTGCAGCGTGCCGTTTTGAAGTTCGCACAGGCAAGGCCCCCGCTCTCGGGTCTAGCGGTCTGGGCCCAAAACGGCTAGGGGGAGGTGAAGAAGGATGACGACGATGATCAGGAGGATGGCGGAGGAGAAGGAGGATAACGCGGGGGCCGAAGGAGGGGCAGTGGGGAGAGTAGGGGAGAGTAGGCATAAGAACAGGAGAGGATGAAGGAGGCGCAGGGAAAGGATGATGTGGAGGAAGAAGGGGTAGGGGAAGGGGGAAGAGCAGGGGGGGGATGAGGAGGAGAGGAGGAGACGGAGGATGAGCATACGGAGGAGGCGGAGCGTCCCTCAAGGAGCAGAAGGAGGAGGAGGAGGAGGAGGAGGAGGAGGAGGAGGAGGAGGAGAGGGAGGGGGATGAGGAAGATGAGGAGGAGGAGCGGAGGAGGAGAAAGGGGAGGAGGAGGAGGAGGAGGAGGAGGAGGAGGAGGAGGAGGAGGAGGTGGAGGAGGACGAGAAGGGGGAGACGGTGGAGGAGGAGGAGGAGGAGGAGGAGAAGGAACATGGAGGGGACAAGCGGGAGTACGAGGAGAAGGATCATATTTCCCCTCGCCCTTTCGCATGTTTTTCCTGCTGCTTGTGAGTGTTGTTGGGATCTGGGGAGAGCCTGTGCGCCAGAGGGAGGGAGAACGATGAGGAGGGGGGAGGTGGAGGAAGAGGAGGAGGAGAAGGGGCATGCTGATCAGGGGGATCTGGATGAGGATGCGGAGGGATGATATCTGGAGAACCGACAACCGCGCGGAGCTGTGGGGCCTGAATCTTGTGTGCAGTGTTTTCAGCAGTTTTGGCTTTTGTTTTCCACTGAAATTGTTAGGCAAGCAAGCCCTCTATCCCAAGTTTTCGATTCTTGTCCGGTTCTGGCCCCCCCCCCTCTCCAGACGCGTGCCAACCCCAGGTGATTACCCGTGCAGATTCCCGCAAAGCGTCCAGCTCATCGAGAGGTGAGTGGGGGACGGTCAGGAGGCGGAGGGCACGATGAAGCACCATCGAATCGGGGGGACTGGCTTGGATGGGAACGTGCGTCGGGCCGTGCTGCATCGGCATGGATCGGCTGCGCAGGCATGCGCATCCGCGCCACGCAAAAACCGGGCCGCATCGGAGCGTCGGAATAGCTATCGGAATCGAGCCGGAGTCAAATCGGATCGATGCGGCCAGCATCGATATCGAATCAAATGTGGCAACAGGAGAGAAAGGGGGGGCTGCCTCCGACCGGATGTAGTCCATGTTCGCGTCGTCATCGCCTAGGGCGAGAATTTCATCCTCATCGACCTCCTCCCTCGTCCTCCTCCTCCGCCTTCTTCCTCCTCCTCCTCGTCCTCCAACCCTCTTCTGCACATCTCTTCCCTCCTTCAACTCATCCCCTCCCCCCTACCCCGTTACCCTTCGACGTACGTGCGCGTCGACCATGGGCGCCTTGTTACCCGTCGGCCTGCGGGGGTCTCCGGCTGAGCGGCCTCCGGCGTTCTCCGCTGGTGATTCTCGCGGGAGCCATGTGGTTGCGATGAACGACGAAAGGGCCCGTGTTCGAACAGCCAGCAAGCGTGGAGGACACGACTTCCCCGTCGCCAAGCAGCAGCTGCTTGACCTCCTGTGGCGGCACGTTGCGGTGGACATCCACCGGGATGGTCTTGGTTCTGGTCTGGCGGGCGAGGCCGGGGCTCTCCGATGGGGGCAGGGCAGCACGGGAAACGAGACGAGGGCAAGCTCGAGCTGCCGCACCCTGTGAGTGACAGCGCCGCTCGCGTACATCCTGCGAAATGCTTAAGAAATCATGGGTTAAGAAATTCATAGTCTCAGAACTTGAATAAAAACCCAACATTTCTGTTAACATCTTAAGATTTACATTAAAACGTTAAGAATAATCGAGACTCTGGCCGAAAACTTAAGTTTTCTTAAGCATCGCCTAAGGTGTAGGCTCAAACGGCCACGGGGCCCCCCGTTTTCGAAATCGGGCCTTGCGGCGACCCACGGCGGCCCGCAGATCTGCTCCGATGCTGAGATTGCCTGCCTGCCGGTGCGAGGTGCTGCGGGTTCCAAGGTGAGTGCCATCTAGCCGTGCTGCAAGTCTAGACGAACATGATCGGGGGCCAGCTGGAATGACTGTGACATTATACACACACGTTGTCTCATCCTCAGAATTAAAATCGGAAGCTCGGTGGCTAGCACGATCCTGGAAATTGCCCTGAACACTGGGGCAAACAAACTCTCGAAAGATGCTGGGGAACTCAGCGTCCAGATCTTCGCTGGCTGAGCTAGATAGAAGAGTCTCTGCAATGGTGGGAAGACTTGGAAGAAGGAACCCCGTGTTTATGCCAACGGGGCGCCTGCTCCTCCCAACGTGGCTGTCGAAATCATGCTTGGGACGGAGGGCGAGGATGATGGGAAGAGATGACGCCGTGAAAAGAGACCGAACACGACGACCAGGACAAGCAGCGCATGCAACAAACAGCGCCGAGAGAAAGGCAGAGGGAGAAAGGAGTGTGAGAAGGAAGAGGAGGACGGCCCGAGTCAGCCCAATCTGCACCAAAGACGCTGAAATCCGCCCAAACGTCTCCCACCCCCTCCTCATAAGGCCTTACCAGCACTCTGCTTTCGTGCGCGAGTCGCCCCCCCTTGAATGACCAGCACCCCAAGGGCTCGAAATTTAGGCGCTCCTTCGAATTACGAAGAATGCGACGAGGTGGGGACGCACAGTTCAGGGAAATGCCTGACGACAGCCCGCTTTGAAAAGGAACCACCCTCCATCTGCGTAGCTGTTGCAACTTCACTGATGTCGACGAAATCACGCGACGAGTCAAAGGTGGGACCCCCCTTTGAAAGCTTCCCTCTCTCCACTCGTGACATTGCTGAACAGGTCTATACTGTGATATCATGTGCTCGAGAAGGTCTCGTGCGAGTGCCCCCCGTGTTTTGAAGGAGCCACCCTGCATCAGTGAATGCATCCGTTGGGCCTGTTGGGCCTGTCCCAGACGAGCGTGCGCTGCACGAGCGCGATCTAACCCCATTTTGCAAGCAGCCTGCCCTTCCACCCGTGCCACGGTTTGAGGCGTGCAGGGCGACTGTGCGCGGCGCCAGGCAGCGAGAGATTGCTCTTGAACACTCGGGGGCGGCCAAGAGGGGGGTGTCCAAGAGGGGGGGGTGCAAATCATGCCCGGCGGCATGTGCGCAGCCCAAGGGGGGGGCCAGGGACGTAATGAAATAAGAAGAGGCGCCATGAAATCTGGGGAAAAATCATGGCCCCCGCCATGATATCCACCCCCCCTAGTCAGCACCCCCCTCTTTCCCGCCCCCGAAACACCAACCCGCCCTCCACCCCGTGCGGCTGCCGGGCAGCATGAAGCCGCTCGTGCAAGCGCGCGAAGGCCAGAGCCCCGCTTTTGAAGAAATGACCCGTTCGACGGCGGAGGCCAGTCCACAAGAGACCTTCCACAAGAAACCCAACCCCGAGACCCCAAGACGTCCAGGGAGTTTGGGTGTGGGAACGTCACGCCTTCCATGGCAAAGCCATCGAAACACCCCAGAAACCCAGGGCACCCTGGAGGCAGACGGGGTATTTCTTGGCATGGGGCCCCACCGTGTCCGAGCGGGCCTGTTGGCTTGTTCGCCCGAAGGTGCTATGTTGTACCCTCGGGGGACCTGGCGTGTCCCGTCGCGGTCCTATCCGCGTCGGGACCGCGTCGAATCCGTGTCGGGCTCGTCGGACCCGTGTCGACGCCGTGTCGAAGCCACGTCGAACACGCGCCAGATCCGCGTCGACTCCGCATCGAGCCCGCGTCGGGCACAGGAGAAGACACCAACTTGTTTGGGGACGGGCGAGGCCCCCCGAACACGCAGCGCGAAAGGTGCGCAACGCCGAGGCGAGAGCTCCATCCTGGACACGACGATGAGGAGGAGGAGGAGGAGGAGGAGGAGGAGCAGGAGGAGGAGGAGCATGAGGAGGAGGAGGAGGAGGAGGAGGAGGTCACCCTCCACCCGTGCGGCTGCTGGACACGTCCAGCTTCGAGGTCGTGCCACGGTGGGGAGGCGGCGCCCAGGGCGGTCTCCCCGAGAACGGTGGAGGGCTGCCAAGCCGGCTTGATCGGCCGTTGGCCATTCAAGTGGATTGCGCCTGACAGAGCCCAGAGCGCAAGAGTAATCAGGTGTGCGTTGCATTGAACGGTACAGTCGGGGCGTTGACCTAAGGAACCCTACATAAGGAACGGGGCCCCTTGTTTCCATGAGTTAAGCTTCGAATTCCGATCGAAGACCTGAGGAAAACCTAAGGCGAGCTGCAAAACAACTAAGGAACACTGAGCCTCTCCCAAACGAAAAGGGCTCCTTCTTCAGCGCCCCGACTGTATTGAATGGGATTGCATTGGATTGTCGACCACGGATATACCAGCGCTGCTGCTGGATTCAACCTCCCAGGAATTGCATCCCAACAAGGGGTGAGGACTGATCGGGCGAAACGCCAAGCCCGCCCGGACGACACACCTGGTGGTGCGACAGGGCAGCATCATTCAGAAGGGCGAGCCTCGAGAAGGAGGCGAGGAGAATGAGGAGGAAGAGGAGATGGCGACGTAATTGAAGGGGCCCCAGGACACACACAAATAAATACACACAAATAAACATATTCCCCATACTTTCCCCAGATTTTCTGGATTTTGGTCTTCCCCCACTTCCCATATTTTCCCATATTTTCTGGGGAATCGACGATTCATTGTGTCTGTGTGTTTTTTCCCCTCCTGAGTAATGCAGGCGGTTCCGAGGCCCACGGCTCGCATCGTGCACACGCTGCTCTGCAGGCCTGCGCCCGCGGTCCGCAGGCCGCTGGGGCCCACAGGAGGGTACTTCCGCACCGGGCCGAAGTTCCAGGCCGAGCAGATCTGGGGCAAGGCTCACCGCGAGCTCTCGACCATCCGTGCACGGCGGAAGCGCCAGCACGAGCTCCTCCGAAGCACCGTCAGTAGCCCATCCTGCGCCCTGGTGCGGGACGCCCAGATGCGGGAGGCCCAAGGGAGGGTGCTCGGGTGTCCGTCAACCAGGAAGCAGCACACGTGGCGGGAAGAGGCGTGCACCCTTCGTGCGCACTCGCGGCCCATTTAGGGCCACCTTCCTGCAACCCTCGATGCCCCCATGTCTATGGCCCCCCGTTTGCCGTCCGCCAAAAGCACGACATGGCAGTGCCACCGGCACAAGGGCTCATCAGTCGTGCCAGACACCGCGATCGGAGCAACGTCGTCGGTCTCGTCGACTGGGAGGCAGCCTTCAACAGCGTCATCGTCGAGCTCGTGCACCGACTTGCTTCCTCTGACAGATCGAAGGTTGGCAAACTTGGGTGTGCGACCCGCCGAGGAGTCCCCGTGGACTGGCACCCAAACCTCCAACGAACCGGACAAAAACAATACATAGGTGTTTCTCATCATTTTCGACCTCTAGGGCCCTCGCCGGGCCCTGGGACCGACACAAGACTAATCAGGATGCAAAACAGGCGCCGGGAAAGGGTCGGAACTTCCGGGGACCCCGTCTTGAAAAAACAAAACGTCGGATCTCTGGGTAGGAGCTCAATCTGCAGTGAGCCCATAGACAGCTCCACGAACCGAGGAGAGGTGGCTCTGGCAGGCTCTTGCGCAAACGCCAAGGCCTGGCCATGCCAAGCCAAGGCGCGAGGAAACTCGGATCGGCGGCGAGTGAGCCAGTTGTGCCAGCTCTGCACGAACTGGGTGGGTGAGTATCAAGCTCGTGCATGCATCAAACCGCCGCGTCAGATTTGTGGATGCCATGACAATGGACACCCTAACAATCCGATCACTGAATGAAAACTGTGTTCAACATGTTTGAAACATCTTCAACCAGCAGCCCGCACAGAACAACTTGCCCCCTGAGCCCGCGAGGGACAGCACTCCAGGTGGCCAGGCGGCAGAGGTGGCAGGCGGGGCGCCCCTGCGCCGCCCCGCGCCCTCCCCCGCAGTGTCACGTGCCCGTCTTCGGCCTTCGAGGAGGAGGGAGGAGGGAGGAGGAGGATAGAGGAGGAGGGAGGAGGAGGGAGGAGGAGGGAGGAGGGAGGAGGAGGAGGGAGGAGGGAGGAGGGAGGAGGGAGGAGGGAGGGAGGGGGAGGAGGAGGAGGGAGGAGGAGGAGGGGGAGAGGAGGAGGAGGAGGAGGGGAGGAGGAGGAGGAGGAGGAGGAGGAGGGGCCAAGCTGAGCACTGCCGTTTTGGACCGGTGCTCGGGCGCGGGCCTCCCTTCCTGGAGGCTGCAGGATGGCTGCGCGCCCGAGCTGCCAAAGACCCTACCCTGTCAGAGCCTTCCTCGGGCGGGTCATGCTGGGCCCAGCATGTCCTGCTCACCCAGCTCAGGCTCCCGCGGCAGTGACGTCCACCCCCAGCAAATCCATCCTTCGGGCCAGCATGGCAAAAGGTTCACTGGGGCTTCGCCGAAGCCGTGCCAGGGACTCTACTGCTGCATTTAGCCTTCGGCGGCCAGCCACTTCCATTCCTTTCCGTCTGCAGAAACAGGTGGCGCGATAGTGGAGGACACCAACTCCTCCTCATCACTTGGCTGACGGGGGCGACTTGGCCACGTGGCGTTCTTGGGCTGAGGCACGGCCTGAGCCTCATCCTGCGACACACGGCATTCTAGGGGAGGCGAAACGCGGCGCAG